TGGCTGCTGGCTACACACGGTAGCCCATGGCAACCCACTGCCACAGGGGCTGCAGCCTACGCCATCGCCGGCGACTCTCGGCAGCCCAGCTCCAGGTTGAGCTTTTGTTCAGCATCTTAGCTGTGGAGGGCAGTGTCAGTGGCCCTCATATGTGGGATCCAAACCGGGGCCCTCTGGCGTCCCAAGCCAGTTCTTAACCAATGCGCCACTCGGCCGGCCCTATTGGTAGATTCTAATTTATTTACTGGGGACCTAATTTTAAGGAAGTAGTATCCAACAGAAATATGAAGTGAGTCACATAGTTAATTTTGAGTTTTCTGGGCCGGCCGAGTGGCTCAGTTGGTTAAGAGCCTACTCAAGAGTACGAGCTCTGAGTAACAGGGCTGCGGGTTCAATTCCCTGCCTGAGCTGAGCTGCCGCTGAGCTGCCAACAGGTGGCAGGATGGCTCAGCTAAAAAAAACAACAAAAAACAAAAAGTTTTCTAATAGCTACATTTAAAAAAGTATAATAAAATAAGATACATTTTCATAATATACTTTTTGTTAGCTCAGTAAATCAAAATATTAATGTTTCAACTTGTGATCAATATAAAAATTATTAATGAGCTATTTTATATTTTTTATACCAAGTTTTTGAAATCTGGTGGGTATTTTACCACTTCCTACACATCTCAACTCAGATGCTAAATTTCATCAGAAATACTTATCTCTATTTAGATTATATAAAGTTTTCAGATGAAAAAATAGATTTATGAGTTGTTCCAAACATGCCTAAAGTATTTCCAATGACTGAACTCAGTATAAATTTTTATTAATATTAAATATGAAAAATTCAGTTCCTCAAACATACTAGCCATAATTCTATGCTGAATAGCCACATGTGGTTAGTAGCTACCATATTAAACAGAACAATTTTTCAAGTTTAGGTTTTTAAAAATCTACTTCTTGCCATTTACATAAAAAATACCTATCTTGTAACTGGTATATTTATAAGGCCTAAGGCCAAGGAAGGTAAGGCTTACTTTAAAAGTTGTGAGTAACTCAGACGGAAAGAGAAACAGTTGTGAATTTCTCAGTATATGAATTCTTTGAAGAGACCCACTGTTGAGGGCAATTTTTCCAGAGTAGGAGGCCTGTAGAAGAAAAACATTCTTTCAGGTAGCTTTGTGTGTGTGTGTGTATCTGTTTAACTATGACTGCCTATAAAAGCATACTATTGAGAAAATACAGTTCTGTTTTGTCCACTGTAACTTGACTAATTGTGGAAGAAATTAGTATACTGTAAATTAAGAGTTTTTCAGTCAAGCATCTGAGCAGATAAAGATAAATAACAAAGGACAAAGCAAGTCTTGAACATTGTTTCATCTGGAGAAAACATCTTAGGAGGCTTAATTATTTTAAGTGTTTTGGAAAATTTTTAATTATACTTATTTAGAATTTTTTATTTTTTTATTATATTCTAGAATGTCTGCCAAATTTTATTTGACATGTTTTTATATGTATGTTAATGCTTTCCATGGTATATGAAGCATCCCACAATATATTGATCAATATATTTAATTCTTTTATAGTAAATCTTTCATAAAATGTTCAATTTATAAAAATAAATTTGTACTATAGATGCCCAAGAACAAATGAAAATAATTAATTTCCTAGGTTTGCAAGATGGAATATTTGTAAACTATGAAGAAAATAGCTCTTTAATATGAATTATGCTCCCAGAAATTTCATTTTTATGGTGACCAGATCTGATTAAAACATACGTTGAGAATAATCTCTAAGTCAGAATGCAGAATTTGATTAGTAATGATAGACTGTGTTGTCTAACTTATAAAAAAAACCTATTAGCTATGATCATGAAAGCAACATCAGTTACTTGACATAATAAAAACGAAATTTTTGTAATAAAATACTATCACTGGATCTTGCTTTCAAAATACCCTTTCTTAGCCATTGCATTGACATCCCTTAAATGTTTTGCTATTTATCTACCACAGTCTTTTGAGTTCTTTGAGGTGATGCTCCCTCTCCTCCTCCCCTCTCTCTCTCCCCTCCGCGTGCGCACACACACACCCACACACACACTAGTAATCTCCCTGACTGGTCTAGTACCCACCTAGCACTATACATAGTTATTACCATATCATTGGCTATATTCCCTATGATTTACACCCCCATGACTATTTTGTAACTACCAATTCGTACTTCTTAATTCCTTCACCTTTTCACCGTGTTCCCCAACCCCCCTCCCATCTATTACCCTGATAAATCTAGTAACCATCTGACGCCATACGTAGGTCCTACAATATTATTGACTATATCACTTATGCTGTACCCTACATCCCCCAACTACTTTGTAACAACCAAACAACCAACCACTTAGTACTTCTTAATTCCTTCCCCTTTTTTTACCCATACCTCCAACACCACTCCCATCTGACAACCATCAAAATGGCTTTTGTATCTATGAGTCTGTTTCTATTTGTTTATTTTGTTCTTTAAATTCCACATAAGTGAAATCAGTGTCGGCTGAGTGGCGCATTGGTTAGAAGTTGGCTTGTGACGCCAGCTCTGAGCAGCAGGGCCCCCGGTTCAGATCCCACATGAGGGCCAGTGACGCTGCGCCCTCTACAGCTAAGATGGTGAATAACAGCTCGACCTGGAGCTGGGCTGCTGTGACTCGCCTCTGATGGCGTAGGCTGCAGTGGGGCTGGCTGGCAGCTGGCGTGAGTTTTCGTGAACTGTCGTGAGCCACCGTGAAACGCCGTCCAATGGCCGGTGGGCGACTGCCTCACCCGGGAAGAGCGCAATGATAATACCAACATGGGCCAGTGAAGCGACATCCTCCACAACTAGACTGAGGAACAAAAGGATAACAACTTGTTTGTTTCCCTTCCCAGATTCCCCAACGCTGTTCCCCTCCCCCAATTCCCCAATAAAATCTTTAAAAAAAAGAAAAAAAGCGAAATTACATTGCACCTGTCTTTCTCTGCCTGACACTCCACTCAGCATAATACCCTCCAGGTTCATCCATGTTGTTGTAGATGGCAAGAACCCATTCCCTTCCATGGCCAAGCAATATTCTATTGTATATATGTACCACCTCTGCTTTACCCATTCTTCCATCAACACCAGGCTGCCTCCACATCTTGGCTATTGTAAACAATGCTGAAATGAACATATGGATGCACATGTCCCCTTGGTTTGGGTTTCTTTGGATAAATACCCAGAAGTGGGATTACTGGGTCTCTGTTTGTCTCTTGTTGTAGCCTTTATTTTAAAGTCTACTTTATCTGTTATAAGTATTGCTACTCCAGTTGTTTTTTCTTCATTTCCATTTTCATGAAATATCTTTTCCATCCCTTTACTTTCAGTCTCTGTGTGTCTTTCAATCTGAAATGAGTCTCTTGTAAGCAGCATATGTAAAGGTTTTGTTTTCTTATCCATTTAGCCCTCTTATATCTTTTTTTAAAAAAGATTTTTATTGGGGAATTGGGGGGATGGGAACAGTGCTGGGGATTGGAGGAAGGGAAACAGACAAGTTGCTGTTCTTTTGTTCTTCAGTCTAGTTGTGGAGGACGTTGCTTCACTGGCCCAAGTTGGCACCATCATTGCGCTCTTCCCGGNAAAGAGTAACAATGGTGGGTGAGAGGAAGGGTGTTTCTGTCAGAGGGAATAGTGGCAATGACCCAGGAAGAGAGCGGGAATTCCCCCATTACAAACCATCCCTCCAGAACTTTCCAAGTCTGGATAGTTGTCTTGCATAATTAATTTCATCTCCACTGGCTCTTTCCCCTTGACACACAAACATTCATTGTCAAGTTCAGTGACATTCTCTAGTTTTCATTGGCTGCTTCTTAAAATCTTCTTTTAGATTTGTTGATTCCTTACTTTCCTGATTCTTCTTCTAGCTCTTTAACATCTCAGTTTCCTTTCTCTGCCTACTCCTTAGTATGTTCATTCATTTGTTAAACATTTATTGAGCATCTGTTAGGCACCGGGCACTAGAAAAATAAATGAATGATTGAATGTACAGTTTCTGCCTTCATGAGATGTATATGTGACAGACATATAAACTGATAATTAAAATATTATATGGCAAGCTCACCGATGTGGTTTAACAGAATGCTATGAGAGAAGAAAAGTACCTAACTCATCCTGGCATAACAGAGTAGGGGTGTCTCAGATAAGTTTCTTAAAGGAAGTAACACCTCAGCTAAATCTTAAAAGATGAGCAAGAGTTAGCCAAGCAGGTGTGGGGAGGTAAAAGGGCAGTCCAGGAATGGCAACAGCATGGGCAAAGGCAAGAAATGGCCTGGCATGTACCCTTTGGGAGAGAGTTCGGTAGAAAAGAAGCTGGAGAAGCACTTGGTACTTAGTTACTGGTTCACAGAAAGCTGTCTGGGCCTTGCTAAGGAGTTTGCCTTTAATTTTGTAAGCGGGGGATGATTTTCATTGGGTATCAGCAAAGAGGGACACCACTTTACATTTTATGTATAGGAGTAGCTCTCCATTGCCTTTGCTTTTGTTCATTGCCTATGTTCCAACTCCACAACAGAAAAAGGTCGTACATTTCCAAAAAGATTGCATTTTACTTCCACTCATCAGCAAATTGAGGCTCATTATGTTACAGGTATATTGGACATAAATTCTCTTTCACGGTCCCTGAGATATATTGTTGCTTTTCAGTAGTAATACTCAAACTTGGAAAAAGAAAACTGACATTTTCATGTGCTTCATTTTTCAAGGTGCTGCCACGTGATAACAAAGCTCGACGACTTTTTGTAACAAGTGGTGGACTTAAAAAGCTTCAGGAGATAAAAGCAGAACCTGGATCTCTCCTTCAAGAATACATCAACAGCATCAACAACTGTTACCCAGAGGAAATAGTGAGGTGGGAAAAACAGACTTTGAGAAGCTCAAAATTATGTCGTTTTTCTGTTTTCAAATCTAGATTTTATATTCAGTGTGTCAAAATGTGGACTTTGGAATACTATGTGAGACCAATGTATACCTTTACTTCTGCTCTTGGTCTCTTTTTTCCCTCAAATTAAATAATTTGATTGACACACACATTTCCAAATCAAACTGAAATGTCATTTGAGACATCTCTGTACTAATTTAAGACATGCTTTACTAAAGAGTGCCCAGATACAGAGTTCAAAATAATCTTTAATGTGAACCTGATTTAGAAAGGGCCTGTAGATTCTGATTTTCATAGTTTCCTACATATTATTTTTCTGTCTTAAGCTCATAGTTATATTAATGGGAGTATTACAGATGGAAAGAAATGTTGAGTGGTGAAAACAAAGTTACAAGTTATATTTGAAAAAATTAAATAATGTTTATAATACGCAGGTGTTACATAGTAAATATAGCAGGAAGCTGTTTTCAAGATTAATTTTTTAAAATGAGGTTGATTTGCAGAGCATTAAAACTAAGCTTCAGTCCTTGTAAGCCTAAAAGAGAACTATATCACTAAGCCCAAAATAAATAAAAGGAAAGTTACCAAGAAAAGACAGAGTGATTTAAATAACTGTATCTTGAAAAATGCCCACAACACATGCAGAATTAAAGGCCATATTTTCCTCATCCTACACTCATTTCTTATTTTCTGTAATTAATATTAGAGAATATCAATTCCAATGTTTAAAACTTATGTTATAACTTATATAAGTTATATAAACCATTCTTCCTATTTAATTTCAGTGGTTTTTAATACATATGGTGACACTGATTGTAAAAATACAAATTTTTTAAGATGAAAATTTGTTTTATGTTTGCATATATTCTGCAAGTAATTCTTTCCAAAGATACAAGTTTATGCACTTTTGGGAGGTTTATGAAACCTCCTTGACCAAAAGAGTTCCAATAAGTTAGCTTTGAAAATATTAATATACATATATAAAACATGGTGCTGATAACATCAAGGTTGCTGGTTCAATCCCCGCATGGGCCATAGTGAGCTGCGCCCTCCTTAAAATAAAAATAAATAAAATAAAATAAAATAAAATATGTGTAAAACCACTAAATGAAGAAAATATTAAAGTCTTTTCCAAGAAAAGAAAATAAAGTTAATTTTTACACATTTACATGACCTTTCAGGAAGAATACTATTTTATGTAAATTTAAAATCGCTTTCAGTACAATTTTCTAACATAAAGAAAATTATAGAAAATGAGAAAAGTAAACCAAAGAAACCCCAAAATGGAAGGGCCTATTAGAATTAATAAATTATAAGGTACTTTCCTGAATAGCAGTGTTGTTTCTACTCCTTTCTAGGGTTATTTTACAGAGCACCAGAACAAATCAAAACTCTGTCAATTTAGTATGTAATCTGGTGGTTTGTCAAAATACCTTTGTAAATTTTTAACTTCTAATATTTGTGATCAAGGATTCTATTTTTTGAATTTGCTAATTATCATGAAGAATCTTGTTTGGATGACTAACTTTGTCAAGTTTCTGATATATTTTTTAAAGCATCAGGTTCTGTAGAATCGTGTTTTATAGAAATCCTTAAAACATTGTCTTTCTATGAAGAAAGACAAATATAATCTTAAAATAGCTTTATTTTTGCAACCATATCATTCTCAAGAATTGCTTGGTGAATATTTTAAAACTATTCTTTATAAGATGGATTATCATTGGTTACATTTTCTCAGCTGTTATCAGCCTAAACGTTTACTTCATATTTCTCTATAATTTTAGCAATCTTTAAAAATTTCTAGTAAATGTAGTTGGTATGATGAGAGAGAAGGGGCCCAGGACTAGATGTTAGAAAACCCAAGTTCTAGTCCTGGTCCACTCCACAGCCAGAGGTATTTTTGGAGCGCTTTTGTCTTCTGGATCTCTGACTAAATGGCAGGGAAGTTGCTTTTAGGAAACATCTAGTTTGGAGAGGGAGGCATACATACAGTCTTCCATTCAGCACATCTGATATGGTAACTATATAATAACCCAAATTCTACATGGGTCTAGGACAGCAGTAGTGGGGTGTAAGTATTGGCAATTAGCCAGTAAAACCTTGAGAGTTATTGGTAGATTCTTTTTTTTTTTTTTTAAGATTTAAAAAAAAATTTTTTATTGGGGAATTGGGGGGATGGGAAGAGTGCTGGGGAATTGGGGGACGGGGAACAGAGAAATTGCTGTTGCTTTGTTCTTCAGTCTAGATGTGGAGGATGTTGCTTCACTGGCCCAAGTTGGCACCATCATGCGCTCTTCCTGGGCGAGGCAGATCAGTCGCCGGCTTCTGGACGGCCGCTCA